CACAGGTATCTATTTCAGTCAGCACTGTGCCTAGCACATTTTAGGCATCCATGTGTTTGCTTGGCAAAGGACAGGAGATGGCAGAACACACCGGACAGAGAAAAACAGTGTTGAAGTGCCCAGTAGAGAAGGCTGTCCTTCATTTTGAGAGTTGCAGACAGAGTGGAAAGAAAAAAAGACATCAGACTCATCACCAGGGATCTGGTGGAGGCACAACAGCAGTTGGCCATTGATGCAATTAACCTCAATTTATCTGTTTCCTTGATTTCTAAAGATAATCTGCTTTCCTTATCTCAGAGGGTACAATCGTCAAGGGAAAAACTACAAAAGTTCCTTTACACAAAAATAAGGTATAATTAAGAAAGTATCTTAACACTGCTTTGGATAAGACAAAGTTGTCCCTCTCAGACATTTTGCAAGGAAGTGTTCCAAGACACACTTGCTGGAAGCAACACTGACTTAGTCAGAGTACTGACTAGATTTAAGCAACTTTTAGTCCAGCAAAAATGGGGTTATTTTGTTTCTTAACCTACACAGATTACATTTAGCATGCTGTTTGCAAGACCCGACTAAAAGCCCTGGAAAGAGGAAAAAAGTCCTCAAGACGGGGAATATTATCATGTTATACTTTCCTCACATCATTCCCTCCACTTTCTTCCTAACGAGGAGGCAAGGCTCAGAGAGATCAGACACGCCCCAAACAAAATCGTGAGGATTTCTCTGAAGCATCCTACACCATCTGTTAACTTTCTTGTTTAAAAGAGAGAATGATACGCGCACACACCCTTTGGGGAGATTATTCACCACCCACCTGCTTTGCAAGCCTGTTGAAGGCCTCACACAGGGCATTACTTAAGAAAGCGAACGCTGAAGTATGTGACAAACCAACGATCACCAACAGAAACCCTTTCCAATCGTCTGCCCTCTAAATCTGAACGTCTCATCTTCCTGTTTCCCTTCCTAGGTTACAAGTCCCAAGGTAACAATGTTTTGAACAAACGTCATACCCCCACTTCCGACGAAGTTTTTTCAGCTGCTGCACCACGTGCGTTCCCACAGTCCGGGAAGAGGGGAAACGCGTAGCGATTGGTGGACACCGAATGACTGTTTGCAGCAGTGGGCGCAGAGAGAGGGAGGCGGCCGTGGGACCGAGACCCACGTTTCCCGGAGAGGATTGCAACACCTCTTTGGCGGCATGTGGCCGGCAGAAGCATGGCGTCTTTCCCATGCCCATGTGGGAAGGGCGTCAGGGACAGACACCTGAGCCTTCTTGGCAACAGCCTTTCCATGTCTCCCTTCTCGTCTCCTTCTTGCGCCTCCCTCTTCCCCAAAGGAAATCTTCTCCTTACCCAGATCGCAAGCCAGGGCTGGCTCCAAAGTTCCGGGACCACGTGTCTGTCCCTTCCCTACATCCACATCCATCCCTACCCAAGGTCCCCTCTCCCGGACCGCCTCTCCTCTCCTCTTCCGACCGAGGCGTTCTCCACTGGGGGCCTGTGCGACACCGCCTGCTGGGTGACCTAAGTTCAGACCCCGACTGGCCGGCCCGGGCCCAGGAGAGAGGCGCGCTCAGCCGGGAGCGCCTGCGCGGCGGGCGGGCCGCGCTGGGACCCGGGGTGCCGGGCGCTGTCGGCGTCTCCCGCCCGGGCGGGAAGAGCAGCGCGGTGCCCACACGTGCTCGGCGGCCGCCGCCCGCCCCTCTAGAGCAGCCTCTGCCTTCCCGGGCCTGACTCACCGAGAACTTTTTTCTCCGCGTCTTCGCTGCCGGCGGGGGCTGCAGAGGCGGGGGCCGTGGTGGCCGTGGCTGCGGGGGCCGCGACCCCACCCGGGTTTCCTGCGGCGGGCGCGGGCGCCGCGGCCTGGGGCGCGCCGCCGCCCACCGGGCTCTTGGGCGCGGGGTCCTGGGGGGCCGCGGCGGCCGCCTCCGCCGGAGCCTGCGGGAGGGTGGTGGTGGTGGTGGCCTCGCCCGCCTCGCTCATGCCGCCTCCTCTGCTCTCCCTCGGCACCCTGCTGGCGGTTGGTCGGCGGTTAGCGCGGCTGGTGGGCGCGGCGGCCGGGCTCGCTCTCGGAGGCCGGTGCGGATCTCGCGGCGCGGGCGGCGGCCGAGGTGGGGTCGCGCGGCGGAGGCGGCTCGAGCTGTCGGGCGCTGCGCTCGCTCGTGGGCTCCTCGCTCGATCTTACTGCCCCAAAAATGGCCCCGCACAAGTTTTTCTAGGCGGCGCGCCGGCCCGGGAGGGAAGGGCGGGCGAGGGAAGAGGGTGGGGAAACTTGGCGCTGGAGTTGGGCCTCGACTCATTAGCATTTAAAGGCGCCCGGCGCCCTTTCCGACCCACCAGTCCGCCCCGGGGAGCGAAGGGGCAGAGCGAGGGCAATGCCGGGCTCCGATTGAAATCCGGAGTCTCCCGCGCTGCTGCCCCTTTGTTGGAGCGGGGCGGAGGGGCTGTGCTCCCTCTAGACAACCGGACACCTGAAATGAGCCTTTCGGAGAGGTTAAATACGGCATCCCAATTACGCTGCACTTCACTCTCTCAAACACTCGTTTTTAAATCCTTTACCTTCAGTCATTCAACGTGTATCAAGCACCAGAAACTACTCTCGGTACAGCAGTTAAGAACTGGAATAATAAAACCATGAGACTATTTGCCAACTAACTCCAGAAAGGTAATCTACCGATAATCTCATCTATAACCCACAGATGAGGAAATTGAAGTCCAGACCTCAGATAATTAATGTAAATTTAATGTTTATACCAATTTAACAGCAACAAATAATGAGCTGTCAATATGTATCTAATAATGTACTTAAAAAAAGGTGAATAAATCCACATCCTACCTTCTGCTCCAATTGCCTCTGCCAGCTGGTGAAAGCTTAAGCAACTGAGCCCTCTTAGCCTTGAGGGTGAGAGTTATAGAGAAACAGATCCCGCAATAAACATTACTCCCAGTTTGGAGAGCCCACATGGCCCTTAGAGAATGGGCTGGATGATATTAAACACAGCCAAGGGAGTGTGACCTGTCCCCCAGGACTATCTGGAATGCAGGACTCTTTGGCCTCTAGTGTTCAGACAGACGAGGTATAAATTCTGGCGCTGCTCTCTATTAACAGTTAGCTTTGGCCAGATCATCAATGTCCCTGAGTCGGTTTCCTCCCATGAAAGCTTCTCAAAGGTCCCATGAAAAGTAGATGAGATTATCATATGTAATTATCATATGTAAGTCCAGTGTCTGGTGCAATAAAAGCTTTTTTTTTTCATTCCCTGTCTCCCCAAACCATTACCTATTTTTCCCCTGGAACTTAATGTGGCTGTCTGCCCCACATCAGGACGGCAACTATCAAGTGTAATTCATCTTTGTATCTCCACTGGTTAGCACAGTACCAGCATAGAGCTTGAACACAAAGTGTTTACAACATTTTTGTTTGTAGTCATTTTTTGTTTACAAACAAAAAGGTCCAATTCTTCCAAACTCAATTACTTATCTACACTTACACTATCAATTATTATGAAACTATCCTGCCTTCTTATTTCATCCATAAAAAAATACAAATTAAAGAAAATAAATTCTTAGGAAAATAGCAAATATGGATTTGGGGCTTTTCCATGTAATTCACCTATATTTTAAAAATGACACACTCCTAAATGTCAGATTCGTATTTTAGTTTGACTTCAATATAGAGCAGACAGTAATGTTCTATAAATGTGGATGCTTAAAAAATACAGATCTCATTCAGCACATGATTACATTATTTCTTAAATTTAAAGATTATGGTCTTAATTAAAATTAAATTACAAGCATGATTTATTCTGGTGA